CCCTAACCCTCTTCCGTTATAAAGGAACTTTTCTCCATGAATTAATAAAAAATTCAATATTGATTGACATTTGACTCCTAACCATCCATAAGAATATCGTATTTCATTATTTATTATCCATCTGTTCGAGAAAATTTGATTTAATGCTATTCCATTTATTTATGTTTTGATTATTTAAGGCTAGGTATTGCAAATTTTTCAGCTTTACTTGGTGAATTAAAAGTTTAGTTGAAAAAATCAATTCTTTTGTCGTTTTGAAGGTCCGAAATTGTTCACTACCTATTCACTACCTAGGCTAGGAGAAAAACAACTTTGTATCTGAACTGATATGTAATGTAGGCGCATTTCAAAGGAAATTCTAGTCTCAGTTGCAAAATGATAATATCTTTCCAAAATGTCAGACGATTTTTGAAAAATACTTGCAATTGATTGCGCCAGTTATATCGAAAAAAAATTATTTCTTAAAGAAGAAAAGTATTCAGATTTTGAAGCTGATAAGCTTTTTTTAAAAAACATACAAGTAAAAGCAGTTTTTTAATTTTATCCCATCCACTACGGCAGTAATGCTCTAAAATGAGTTATAAAGGGGTGGCTTAGTGGTATTTGTTTTTGTTGCTTTTCAACTGCAATATTTTTTAAATTACGATCAGTGATTGGCGATTGTTAACATACTATCTTATAAAAACTAATTACAAACAAATAAAAATTATTTAAAAAGTGAAAAATATTTTTATTTCTCCCCATTACGGAGGGCAGACTACAGATTAAAAATGAAAGCAAACTTGGCCCTTTAACATTGCATAGAAAAGATTGCACCAAAAGAAAGATTGGTCTTGTCTCTTTATTTTGAGTGAATTTCGCCATTCATTGAGAAATGCTACAGGTTATGCTAATAACTAGAATAACTAGTAGATTTTCGAATAGTCGAATTTTTAGTGATCATCTGATGTGCAACTTATTCAAAAGTAGTCAGTAATGATAAGAGCTTTTTGATTTGTACGTTGGAAATCATCCAATATTCTGAATTTCCAGCACAAAACAGGATGTCATCGAAAAAAATCTTTGCAACATGTGAAATGTTGAATCCCAATAGCAGTAATCATTTGGCCCGATTTTAATTGACCTAATAAAAGCTCTGGATATCACGTATTAGTATGTAGCGTTTTTATTTTCAAATGATTAACTGATAAAGTTATTTAGTTTAATCCCATTAACCGTGACGAATACCTAATCAGAAACGATGAATACTATTTATGAAAGTTCCAAATCCATAGGCAATCTTTAAGCGTAGGATATCTAAATTATTTTTATTTAATCACCTCATTTTCTAGGTTTATTTTTTTCAGAATCACTCTTCGAGTAAAGTTGAGAACTACTGCAGGTTGTGCTGCTTTCAATGTTATTAAGCTAACTCTAATTTAAAAGTTGCAGTCCGAAATGATAAACAAAACCTGAAACCAAATCTTCCATTCCCATTTCCTTTTCCTTTTCCTTCTTTTTCTTCATCCTTAAGCCTTAAAAAAAGCAGATTTTTGAATCAGTTCACGATTGGAATAATATTTCTAACGCAAAGAAAAGCGCTTACCTACTGAGATATTCAGTTTCTTAGTCTATACATTAATAATTTGCAATTTGTTCTTCGTATCTTCCTTCTGATCCCACCAACCTCACTTTAAAAGCCCTTAAGCAACAGCTCGATTATTTAACATCACCAACAGCCCTATCTATAGTTTTCAACCATATAGCAGGATTTTGCGCAGTCCTCAGCATTACTGCTTAAACTCGCTCCGCTGGCTTGTCGCATTGGACAAATATACCAGGGAGACCCTTGACGATAGAAGTACAGGTGAGTCGCCAGCAGTACCTGGATTTTCGAACAGGTTTATTCCTGCGAGAAATCGAACCTCAGCATTTGCGCTTCAAATTTAGCAACAGCCCACTGGGCTATTCTATTCCTTATAGGATTGTGCGCAGTTCAACAAGTTGATTTATTTCATGGTAAAGGTTTAAATTATTCAAAATATTTATTCCATCACCATTTAAAAGAGCAAACCATCCATTTCAGTGATAGAAAAATTTTGAAGTTGTAGACGATATTTGGCGCAATGATTTGGAATTGACGATAAGTTGCTGAAAGCTGTAGAAAATTAAAACCTAAAACCTACAAATATAAAAAGTGGAAAGCTTAAAAAAACAAAATAAAAACTCGAATTTATTATTCCAAACCACTCGATTCACGAATTCATTAGGAGATATAAAGTGTTGCAAGTTGATTCATAAGCGCCGAATTATTTCATGGGATATGGCGAAACTGCTTAACTGCAGGCGAAGGCAATAATTTAAGCATTGCGTATGAAAAGAAGGATTTAGCTGAGAATGCCCTTTTACAACAAAAAATCAAAAAAATATAATTGACAGATTGAGAGTGCGAATAAAAATCGCTAAAAATTTAAAATTAGGTTTTTTCCTGGTGCCCTCGCCACATCGCGCTTATAGCTAAAATCGTACCCCTGTTTCTCTTCCTTTTTGTCACCAAAGCTGGGAATCTCTGGTTTAATGCCTTTCACACTCTTTGAGAACCTTCGTTTTTAAATATTCGCCATATTCATTTGCTAACATCAGTTAATGATATCATAATAAATCTTTTTCTACTACTCTTATCATCCCAAACCCAGCTTAATACCACCTACTTTGTTGCCTTAATATCCTGTAAAACTTTACAGTGCACTTCTACCACAACTGCTGTTGCAAACTGAAAATTTGTAGAAAGTAGAATCAAGATGACGGATGATTTCAAAGGATTATGGCGGGCATTAAGGGGAAAAAGTACATAAAATTAAGGAGTTAAGGAAATAGAATAGATTTTGAGGAGAATATATCAAGGCGAAAAGGACAATCCTATCCGGACTTAAGCAATAATTTGCTTTATTAGAATATATGTTGGCCCAGGAAAAAAGTGAGCACAGAAAATTTATCCTCCAAAACTTGTTAACAAAATTTATTTCGCTATTTTATCTACTCGGAGGGATATACCTAAGTATTTCTTCCATGCAGCAAACAATACCAACGGTAAGAACAACAATTCGACCAGTTCAACCTATAAGAACAAAGCCTGTAACACAAACCAACAAGATTACGTTTCAGTCACCCGCCATGCCTAAGAGGAGTTTGACAATAAGCTACCAACCAACTTTCAATTTTTCTTTCTCCTCATAAGCACCATTACTGTGCATCTGTGAATATTTAACAGTTTGTTTTAACAGTACTTCTGATTTCACCACCATAACACCAGAAGCCATTATTTTTTCTCGCGGGCCACAAAACGTTTGACGCTTGACTTCTCAAGAATTCGCCTTATATTCTCGAACTCGAACTCATCATGGAAACTGATAGTTTCCAAAGAACATTGTTTCCAAAGAACCAACGAAGTCTTCAAGCTTCAAAGTCGCTGAATGCAACAACAATATTAAGTGTATTTCAAATATTTCGACTCGAACTTACGCTCTATCCGAAGTCAAAAGCATTCGATGGTACATTTTTTAAGAAATTGTGAATTCAAAATAAATTAACAACCAACCAAATTTCACGCAGCCACAACCCACTGGGCACAATGCAATCAGCTATGAAGCTACTATATTTAGGTCAATAAAATTTATAATTCCAAATACCAGCAGAAACAAAAACAACAATTCTGCTACCTTTTAAGCACTTTTAATGAATTGCGCGATTTCCTCATAGCAGGCCAAATACTGTTTTTATTAGCAGTTCAACGTCTTGCCTTGCCTTTGTCTCTAGACCGAAGTAAATTTTACCACTGAAAATGCAAGTAGTGTTGATGATGTATTTCGATTCTCAAGTGAAGGGGCCTCATTTTAATCGCCACTGAAGTGAAATAACCGTGAATGATAAGTGCTGTAGAATGAGCAAAAACATTCGTTGAAGAATGTTCTAACTTTTTTCCTTGCAAAACTGAGAAACGAATATTTGGATAAATCGGAGGAAAAGCTTCAGAAGAGCATTAAAGTTCTTCATATAAATAACTTTTCATTTGCGACAAGCGGCACAAGTAAAAGTAAAATTATAAAGATGCCAGCAAACGCAAAACCATGAGAAAAATTCGACCACCAAATTACACAACCTATGATATTTAAACTAACAAACTTAAAAACAATATGAAAATAAATATTAAATGAAATATAATATAAAACAAATGCAACTGCATAGATCTAAACAAACCAAACAGCTAACTTCATCCGATGCTTTAAATTTAATTTAATAGAAATCCAAAATCCAAAATATCTAAAAACCGATATTTAACCCAATAAAATATATATGGCGAAGAAGACTTTTAGAAAAATTTAAAAAATATTAAAAATCTAAGGAAATAAGAGACATGAAAATAAAGAAATATAAATACAAATTCCGCAAGAAAATTTTTCCAGATTTTTACAAATACAGATATCCATGAAAATTAATATTCAAATTAAAATAAAAATATGCAATAACCAATGATAGATTATGCTCACTTTAAATATAAAAAATGAATAATATAATCTCACAAGTCGATTTTCATAAAATTTTCAAATAAATTCACAAAATATTTTGGACTTTTGAATAGATATTGATTACGCGAAATAACAAACCTAAAAATTAGCGCCATTCGTATAGGGCATTTTTCTTTTCACCATCAGACAGAAATTCTTTACCTTTTTTATGCCATGGATTCCTTCTCCCAATATTTTTAAAAGCACAGGATAAAAATTGAAAAACAATAAGAAAATATACGATTTCTTTAAATGATAAAATCACAAATAATAATATCACTATCACCTTGATTTGTTGCCTATATTCATAAAAGAAATGCTGATTTTTAGAGATAGAGATTAGGAAACAAAGATGTAAAATCTGCAAGGGACTGTGGATTCCTAACATATGATCCAAGAGCAAAGAAGCACGCCTTTTAACGAGATTAAATGAAAACTTTTGTTTGCGCCATAAGATTATGGCAGTAAACCAGTAATCTCGATCAGATGACCATATCTCGCAAAGAAAAACATTGAAAGTGTGCCTCCTGTAAGTCCTAATGTTTGTAATAATAGAACAGAAAGAGCTTCTTGATGACCAATTCTCAATGCCTCTTCCATTGTTTGCTTCATTTCTGGCATCTTAAAGAATTTATTTAATATTTCGCTTTATATTTTATAAACGTATATGAAATATAATTTGCGATAAATAAACTGCACGCTAACGTATATCTCATTAAAAAATCATAAAAAATCATAAAAAATTTGAAAAGTACCATGCAAGATAGAGCAATGTAAAGAAACATTCCACCCGAGAAGCCAAATACATAACGAAGAAATGTTTCAATCGAACCAAGCATAACACCGATAACAAAACCGATGAAACATGTTACTGTACTTAACAAATTATAGAATAATGTTTGTTTCAAACTCATACCAGCACTAAGTAAAATCGCAACATCGCCTATAATCTGAGTTTCAATAAAATTCATTTGAGGAACCTTTCTTTCGTAAATTATATCTTGAAAGCATCTTCTCAAAGGTACGCCATTTTCACACAAACATCAATTTTCAATTCACTTTTTATTTCGACACTTAAAATATTTTTATTTTTAAATTTCACTACTGCAAAATCGGTATGGTCCAATAATGAATAAAACTATGATTAATGAATAATGAATAAATAAAATTGTGAAAATATTCACGATCGCCAGAAAGTGTATAAGATGAAGCATGGATAAAAAACAATTTGTCTCTTATGAAATCGAATTTAATCAAAGTTAAATTACTAAGGTAATACGGTATGGAAAAAATTTATAAGATTTTTAAGACAAAACACCAACCAAGTTCATGCGGAAATTCTTCGGCAAAAACAGCCACACTTACACTGAAGCCACTAATTAAAGATTCATTGAATGCTGCGCCAATGCTTACACCATCAATAAAATTATGAAGACCATCACCAAATATAATCATCCATGCAACTGTCTTAATTGCCGAGTCTTTTTTGTGATTAAAAACTATTTCATGGTCATGAACACAAATACCATGTGCCTGAAATTAATAAAATGACAAATACTGCCATAAATACAACACTCCCACTAAGATTCAAGTGCCGCCCCCACTAAGATTAAGGCACCATCGTTTAATTAAGACAAGAATGAATCTCTATTAATAAATTCTTGAGTTCCTTTTCATCACTTACTATTAACACACGAAATATAAGAAATCCCATAAATTAGTAGAATTTATATTTATAAAACTTCCATATCGATCTTATCTGATAGTTTTTAGAAATTAGAAAACGATAATTCCAATAGAAACATACTTGACGAGACATGTCGATATTTTCCATAATTTCAATTCCATTTCGACTTTTTAAAGATTCTGTTCTATCGCGATATTGATGAATGGTATTATCTTTGAAAAATTTTCAATGATTAAAGAATTATTTTGAGTTATTAGATTTATAAAGAATTATAAAGAATTATTTTATTTATAATAACAAAAGTGAAATCCACGATTTTCAATTTGTAATTTTTGAAAATTTTTCAAAAATTAAATTAGATATTAATTTGCCAGAAAAAATTTGAGAGAAAAAATTCATTTTCTCAAAATATCACAAAAATTAAAACTTGAATTTCTAGAGTTGTAAAAACTAAATAGTGGGAAAATAATGGTTTTCAATCTTTCTTTCTTACGAACAAAATAATTTATGATATAAATACAAATGTAAAAAAGATAAAAATGAAAAAATGTTTGCGGCAAAATTATCTATCGATTTGGAGCAAATAAAAGCTAAAGTAACAAAGTTTTTTTACCGATAATTTTTTCGTATTTTTTTTTCATTTCTATTTTTAAAATGCCCATCATTTCTGGTCTGGCTTGAAACTACTAGAGATGAGTCTCCAATACCACTGTATTTAACAACACGGTTTACACTCATCAGTGAGCAGGAATAGAAAATTGAAGAGCGATAGTATTAACAATAAAACATCTGTCATGCTGCTTTCATTTTCTTTTTTTTATTTATTATTGGAATAAATGAAAGATAAGATCAGAATTATCAAATAAAAAATGTACCAAGAGGCACTAACGTATCAGATGATCGAAGCGAAATAACACCAGGGTTCACTTCAGTTGGGCCTGATTCAGAGATACCGGCATCAATCAACTGAAATTTTTTTAACTGGCTAATATAAAGTAATTAATTGACTAATCTAAATAAAAATTTTTTTATTCAATCTTCTGATACGATAATTTATCATTAGATGAATGACACAAAAAACATATATTGATAAAAAAATGACGAGTAACCTTTTTAGATTCAAGACTAATCTTTAAGAATTTATCACAGAAAAAGAATGTATATATTCCAACAATTACAAACATTTGAATGGTTATGAAATCAAAATTTTTGCCATCGACAATTTCCAATCCCTAAAAAGAAAGTGAATGAAGTGGCAAAAGGTACTAGTGCGTTTGTTCAAAAAAGTTCTATATGAAGAAGTCTTTGTTTACATCAATATTCTTTAAAAAACCTATTTTTTAAATATGAACGATGAAAACTACTAGAAAACTATTAGTTTCACTCAGCAATAATAGCTGCAATCGATGAGCCTTTTTTTTGCTTTGAAGACAAAAAAAATCCAAAAGTTCTATTCATTCTGATGATAAATTTAAATTTTATATTTCGTATAAATTTCGAAAATTAATAAGATCAACAACCTGTGGTACTAAATGCAATGTAGAAGAACTAATAAGAGATCCAACACCAACAGCAGCAAAAATCGTTATAAATCTGTTGTAACTTTTCTTACTAAGACCTCGTATAAACAATATCCCGACGGCAGCACATAAACTGATTAATGTAACACAAACGAGACCAAAACACCAAACTAAATTTTTGGTTAGCTTAAATTTCACCTAATTTACAACAATTTAAAAAATGGAAGATGGCCACAGCAAGGTTATCGTTGTTGATAAAAAAATAGTAGAAAGATGCGATGATAAAGTGCTAAAACAATGACGGACCTAAAACGAAGAGAGACATAAATTAGAGGGACATAAAAGAGAGAAACACTAGGGAAGCACTAAGAACCACTGGGAGGACGGGTCGCCTCCTCACACAACCGCAAAATGACAATATCAAAGGCATCGAAAAATCGAGGGACCGATATTTATATAAAATAAAGTCGAACGATAGAAGGACGGAATAATTATGAAATACCTTTTTCTGAAGTTTTTGAATAATTTTTAAGACCACGAAATTAAATAATTTGAGAATTATTAGAATTATTAATAACGAACTAATGGCATGGGAGGGTCGTTGGTGGTGACTTGGCGAATCGTCCTCCATGCTACCATAGTTGTGAACACTTTTCCACCAATGTGTACATAATTCAATGAATCTCAAATCGGTTACATTCAATGATCTATCCAAATCTGCACTTAACGACTGTAACGCTTCAAAATTTTTCAAAGCCATTGAAGGTACTTCCAGGCCAAATTTCCTGAAAAAATCCCATATGCGGTCCGTAAATTTCTCAATACGTTCAATTATTATTTGAATCAAACACTAACACTTTGCGAGTTTAAAAAATAGTTGGCAGCAGCATTGCAAGAAGAAATTTAAATTATACTATTTGAACTCGAACAGCAGGTCAAATGCTACCAAAGAAATAAATGTGCTTAACCTTTGACCCTCGAGTAACATTGATTAATAAATAAAAGCACTGATAAGGAAACGCAACATAGGGCAATAAATATCAATCAACGTAAATTGCCCATCAATGCTACTGGAGGCCGATGCGACCGCGCCGAGACTCCTCACTCAATCGATCGTCCATTTGATCATTTTGACACAATAATTACGATCTCTTATCACAGATATCGACGTAAATCTTATCAATATTTCATTGTGCTGTGCAATAATTGATATAAAATTGATAAAACTTAATCAGAGATTTAAATAAAGAATCATATTTCATTTTCGTGTCGCGTTAGTTTTCCGCACTTCAATCCTTTCTTATTCATTATTCATTCATTAGCATTTCAAAACGAGATTCGGTGAAGGAAGTCGGAAGGTTTCAGCTGATTACCAAAGGGATTAAAAATTAAAAATTTTAGAAATATTAAAATAAACTTTTTTTCTAAAGTATGGTCCACTTTTTTTCTATAATCTAAAATAGAATATAATAAAATATATATACAATAATTCGGCAGAATTTTTGGTACTAGAAAATTAGACGTTTTTCCTCGTCGACTATCGCCGACCACCGCGGATCAAAGGCCGCATTGTCCCCTTCGTTTAAAAATAAAAGAATGAATATTTTACCAAAAAGACGAACAAAATATACGAAAGATTATCGAAAATAAACGAAAAATATACGAAAATACCGAGACACATGTTCGCATTAAGCAAATTACTAAGCATTGGTTCGCTTCTTACCATTAGATAGGAGTAAATCAGCAATTAAAAGGTGCAATTGCGGTGCAGTTTCTGCTGAGGGCTAATTTCTCGCTTTATCCCAAAGGGAAGCTGTAACAGAAGAATCAACGTGTTGGCCGAAGGCAGCCAAATTAAAAGCGGTGCGACGAATTGTTGGAACTATTTATGGATATACGCAGAAGCACTGTTTTTCGAGGAAAACATAACGCTCGCCTATTTCAATCTTTAAACTCATGTTTCGATTATTTATGAAATTCTTTTCCTAAAAAAGGGTCAAAACAAACTTCCACGCATAGTTACATACGTTGACATACGTTGAACATTCCAATAAATTAGAATGAAAAGCGATGATCTAAAAACCGCAAATCGTGGTAGATACCGGAAAAGCTGATTTTTGAAAGCTCTTCATAGGTCATCAAACGAATTGACACTTATTCCGCGAAATGCCAAGTCTTATAATGGATAACTTCACAGCAAAGGTGATGAGCAGAGATTGTGCACGCATACGGCTTAAATTGCCGAGAAATGAGTAGCTTTTACCATATGGCGTGCACCGAACATCTTTGTGGATGCGACCTAATGGTCCGCACTTTAGAACAACAAGCAAATTTATCTTTCCTTACTAACCAACTTTATTGTTTTCCTTAATTTCACACGATTATCCATAGTATTTATCTTTATTTCAGCGATGAATAATTTGTTTTATGATCTTTTCTTCCAATTTTTTACTTGTTTTTCATTTATTTTTATTGACATTGATTCAAAAATGTTATTTACTGCATTCCATAAATTTTCAGATAAAAATAAACAAGATAAATCGTCCAATCGTCAGTTATCAGCACGAATCACAGCAAATTAACGAAAACTTTGTCGAAAATATATATGATAAAAATATGACAATAACAATGACAAAACCAATTATTTTATTTTTTCAAACCTTCAAAGTTTTCATTTTTTTGTGAAAAAAATTAAGTATTTTTTAAGAAATGAAAATAATTTAAAAAATGAAGAAAATAGCCTTTCTTTAGAAAATTTATATATGTGAACTATAAAAATGAAAAAAAATAATTTTTCAAAATCATTTTCTTATTTCCATTTTCGAAATTTTTTCGATGTGATTAATGAGTTGTTCATTTCTATTTCCGTTAAATTATCAGAATCAGAATGAAAAAAAATCATTTTATATGGATAGTTTTAGTCCAAAAGAACTCAAGCTATTGAGAAAACCAGTTTATGCACGCACTTGACATCAACTGATTATGGCAATGACCTATTAATGTGCAAAGCCACAACCACTGGCTTATGATCGTATACAACATTGCTACCATCTCGTAATCATGCGCAGTTCATAAACACTAATTTTCTAATAATTCGATATTTTTTAAAAATAATCTCACAGAAAACTGTAACTCAACAAAAAATTATGGCATAAACAAATAAAAAAAAATAAAATAACATCGAATATTGACTATCGAGTAATCTGCACCATGAAATTCTTCAAACCTCAAATTTTATTCAAACCTCGTTCCTCGAATACCCAAACGTCTTACTGTGCCATAACTCATTAATAATTCTGAATCGCTTTCCGTTACTTAAACCTCAAAGCAGTCATAGGCTTTTCACAACACCTACTTTCTTCAAGTTCACTTTAAAACCCTTTGTAGTGCACTTCTGCTACGATCGCAGCTACAAATTACAAAATCTCAAAGGATGATAAAACAACGCTCGACTAGGAACATTATAGGTATCGCACAGCCGAACCGGCACGGAAGAAAAAGAAAGACGGGAAATATGTCGTCTCATGACTCGTCTTATCCATGTTTGAGTAGTATTACAATAATCAACATACATTTTTCATTTAAACATTTGCTATATGTATCCGCATAGAATCGCATTCGCAAAAGAATTGCCTCATTTAGTCAATATTTCGCTGCGCCAACATGCATGAAATGAGAATCCATTCTTTGCATTCTTGAAGAAAATTAAGAAGGTTAGCACAAAGCATTCATTTCTAGACGGATTCTAAACGCAGTAATATTTCTTTCTCAATACTCATCGCCAATATTTGTTTTTTTTATAAAATAAGAAACTTTTATTTTTGAAGAAGAATATGCATTATACTTTATCGTTTTAATATTCCAAGAAATAAAATATTCCTTGTTTCTTTCTACTATTTAACGTTGTTTAATATTGCTTACTTTTCCTCATATTTTTTTTGAAGAAATGGATCAGCGAATTGTTGCTCTCATTTCATAGCGCTGATGCTAAGGTCCCGACAGGAATAAAATTTGGGTGATGATGGCGACTCACCTTACTTCTATCCCTGATAAAACCTGTGTTCCGATAAACCAGTGCAATAAGTTAGAAATGGTGAGCGTTCCTAAAAAAAAGAATAATAGTAGAATTGAGATTAACAATAATAATAAATAAAAAATACTAATAAAAATAATAAAAATAATATTGACAATACTAATAATAAATAATGAAATAAAAATAGTAATATTCGAATAATTTTTTTTATAAAAATAATTCAGCAAAAATCAAAATTTAGTATTTGGAAAAAGAAATTTTTAACATTCATAATAATTTTCGAAGAAAGTTAATTCAAGTTATTATTACAACTTAATCTCAATAATTATTTTAAAAAATTATGAGAAAAAAAAGCAAACAGTGCGGTAAGATCGTACTGCCGGCGATTGGTATCTCGATACAACGATAGCAGCACCAATGGAGATGGTTGAGTATTAAGTTATTTCCACTATTCGTAAGTCAGACCACCACAAATTCAATTATTTCTAAACAGCCATCTTAAGAGTAAACCTGTCATTATGAAATCAGATGGTGCTGCAGCTAATGAATGAAATAAGCGAAGCTAGCCAAATTAGAAATTATGGATGCTGGTAGTAGGAGACTTTGTTTATTTCATTCTGCAATCAAATAAAAAGTACGTTGATGGGAAGTGTTCTCAGACATATGAAATATTTTACAAACTAAAATATAATAATGGAACACTTAGTGGTTATTTGGCTTTAAAGAAATAAACGTAGATATCTTTCCTCAGACGTTTATTCATGCAAAATCAACAAAATGTATTTGAATAGAAATAAGAAAGTGGGAGAAAATTATAAATTATTTACCCTACCTTAGTCGGAATATAATGCACTTATAAAAAAATAAAAAGAAACAATCATATTTGAAAAGTAAAATTTTTTGGGCCTTCAAATCGCGAATTTTTTGATATTAGGTGCGATAAGACAGTCGAATCCTCATATCCGTCGAATGTAGTTTGCAGCATCAGGTCCTTTTCCTTGCAGAACACAGGATCAATGTAAATATGAATAAAAATAACTTATTCTTATTCTTAAATTCTTATCAATTTATCAATTTAATTCTTACCAATTCTCAACAATTCAAAAATTCAGATTGACGAAAGGACTTCGATTGGACCCATTCTTATGTTCAATGGAAAAGTAAATGAAAAATGATTCTTTCCTCAGGGCTCATCTAGCTGCAGTGCCACTTTGTTATATAGCTGCGAAACATGGCCAATGAGAGTGAAAAATATTACGAATTACGAATTTATCACCTTTAAATTCACTTCTAAAACACATTTTCCATGCTTTCTCTGCTTGTGGA